GCCATCCTCACACTGGCAGGCAAATACACGGGTACGTAGGCGCCCCACACATGAGGGGGCTGTGGGCACGGCCCTGGGTATCCCACCCGCTGCACTGGCCCTGGGAGGATGCCCCGGCTCCCTTTGCCCTCCACTTTGCTTCCCTCTTCCAGCTCTGAAGTGGGTGGCGACGCTGAACGTGGGGTACGGAGGTGCCCATGCCAGCTACTACCACCGAGCCAATGAGCAGGTGAGCGTCCCCACGTGTCCCTGTCCCCCGTGTGTCCCTGTCCTCCCTGGGGCCTCACGTTTTCCACCCCTCAGGTGCAGGTCGGGGTGGAGCTGGAGGCCAACACGCGGCTGCAGGACACCACCTTTGCCTTCGGATACCAGCTCAACCTGCCACAGGCCAACATGGTCTTCAGAGGTGAGCGAGGAGCCACGCCAGCAGCTGGCACACCCAGCGCTGGCCAGGCGCTCACCCTGTTCCCCCCGCAGGGCTCCTGGACAGTAACTGGAGTGTCGGGGGGGTGCTGGAGAAGAAGCTGCCCCCCCTGCCCGTTACCCTGGCTCTGGGCGCCTTCCTCAACCACTGGAAGAACCGTTTCCACTGTGGCTTCAGTGTCATTGTGGGCTGAGGGGCCGTGGGGGCAGCTGGCACATGCCACCGACCTGCTCAGGGAGCCGCTCTGCCGTGCCATGCCACGGGAGTGCCAGCCGGGCCCTGCTCTTGAGCCGTGGAAATGAGGGAGCCCGCAGAGGGGGGAACGGGTCCCTTGCGGCCGGGGGACACTGTGTGACAGCACGTGGTGGCTGTTAGCACCTTTGGGCTGAGGACCGCCTGCTGCTTGGGGCTGGGGGCCTCCGCTGGCCCCGGCACTCGCCTGTGCCAACCTCCTCACACCAGTGCAGTGCTTCCCTCTGCTCCCACCCTTGCTCTGCCTCAGTTTCCCTCCGGCAGTGCAGGAAGTGGCTCTACACCATGGCGGGGGCTGGAGGCACTGGCAGTGCCCGCGTGCACGCACCCACGGAGCCTGGAAAAATAAAGGAGCTTTACTCTGCCCTGTAAAGTGCACTGGTAGCTGGTGAGCCCTGGTGCCTGCAGCCGGAGGCCGGGGCTTGGTGCAGGCTCTAGCTGATTATTTCGGAGAGCAGAGGCGTCATGGAGGACAGGTCCTGGATGTGGAGGATCTGCCGCGTGTTCTCCACCTTCAGCGTCTGTAGCTCTGTCAGCAGCAGCAGCAGCTTTGCGTAGAGAAACCTGGGGCAGGGGGGAAGCACCCGGCTCAGACCCAGTGTCTGCCCACGGCAGAGGAGACCATGGCCATGCCAACCCCCTCAGCGTGTACCTGCCCTCAGGCATGGGATGCTGGTGGTCGATGTAGCTCTTGAGTGTCAGGGCCACCTTCTCCTGGAACTGGTCGATGAAGTCCCGCTGGGTGATGCCGGCATGGTCTGGGAGTGTGGGTGGGCGGGTGCCCATCAGTGGGGCCAAGGAGACACCCTGCCACCACCGCCACCACTGTGGTCCCTACCTGGCGAGAAGAGCAGCATGGCCTGGAGCAGGACGTACTCGGCCTCGTGCAGCTGCAGCTTCTTCAGACTGACGTGGAACTTGAGCAGAGGCTCCAGGTATAGCCGGGACAGAGACGTGGCTGTCCCCTGCTCCCCGATGCGGCCACCCGCCATCCCCTCACCCAGGGCTCCGTCCTGGATGGTGTAGCAATGCTGCCCGCACTCCCAAGCATTGGTCTCCGCGTTGAAGACTGTGTTGAACTGGATCTGGCAGATCTCCAGGGTGGCCCCTTTCAGCAGAGAGATCTGGTCGTCGATGGGCAAGCTGCCGGTGGGCTCTGCGGCTGCAAGCTGGGGACGTAGAGGCGCACAGCAGGCTGCGGCGGCAGCCGGGGTGTCAGAGCCATGCCGGGGTGCCCATGGGGATGGTCAGGTCTCAGGGGGCCCCCACTCACCCAGTAGTGTGTGAACTGGG